CCCCCCCCTTCCTTCCCATCCTAAACAGCTTTCGTTGATAGTAACACATTCCTCAAAGATCAATGGGGTTTTACTTCAACGTCGACATGTTTCGGATTAGGGGTGCTTGTTGACAATCTCTCTCTCTCCCTTTTTCCTTAAGCGAAAAGCTGTTTGTTGAGAGCGGGATTCATTAGAAGGTCTAGTCTCCAAAAAGCTAGAAAAGTTGCCCCCTCTTAAATTTAGGGTTGATCATTTAATTCTATAATCCCAGATTATATTTGTTTACATGGTGTGGGGTTTTTAAAAAATTTTTGTTGTTGTCTAGGTTTAATTTTTTTTTGTTTATATTCTTTAAAACGCCCCCCAGCTATTTCAAAATGCGCGTCCTTATTCGACTTCACCTTAATGGAGTGGTTACACTTCAGGCTAAAATATCCTAAAGTAACCAGAGAGGCGTGATAAGAGCGAAGCCTCCTGAATATAGTTAGGTTTACTCTCGAAGAAACACGGTCCAAGCATGTTTCCTTGACGGTCAATCCCCCTTGAAACCGGGGGTCTTACTTCTGAGGAAGGTTCAGCAATTGATCTGCAATGCTCCGGGCTCCCTGTCCAAGATTTCTGCAATTTAATTGCTGAGGTTTAATCTAGTAAATGTCCCCCCCCCCTACCTTCAGGGGCATTCCAAATTCTGGCTTTCTCTCCCCCTCCTCCCAATTTCAAGCGAACAAATCTCTGTTGAACTTCAAGGGGGGAATTTCCTGTTTCCCCAACAATGTCATTTGTATCCCTTTTATTGGTCAGACCCAGCGAAAAGTTGGAAGTGCAGAACAGCTCAAACTCGCACAGAATGAGTTTTTTTCCAGAGCAGATTCCCCCCCTCTCCAAAGCAGAAAGCCAGGCCCACAACTAGGTCGCTAGATCTCTGGTTCTGACGTTCCGGATTTTAACGTCCTTTAGAACCTGGATTTTAAAAATCTGGAGCAATGAATACTTCTCTTGCTGGAAAAAAAGGCCTTCGTCTGCCTAGGCCTGGTAGAAGGCAAATCCTGGACACGCTTACCCGAAAGTAAATCCCGTTGAACCTAAATGAGACTGAACTTCCCCGTAAAAGGATTTAGGACCAAGCTTTGAAACGGCAAAACATATTGGATATTTCTGGCCTCCACCGCCCCGCACCTCGTAAATCAGAATTTGGAGGCCTTGTTGTTTTCTGGGAGGTCTTCGATGGCAGGGCAGTGCCGATGGCTTGCCTTCATCAGACTTTTTCCCTAAGGTCGCGATCCTGCGCCGGATTACCATCAGATTCAGACCGAACCCAGCCCCCTCCACTTTTCCCTCCAGTAAACAAGGTTCTGTCCAGTGTTCCCTCTAAGGCGAGTTGGTGTGAGCTAGCTTACAGGTTTTCAGCCTCGGGCTCACACATTTTTGTCTTCGCTCTGGAAGGATGGCTCCAGAGGAAACTAATTCATGCAGGAGCCAAATCGCTCGCTCACAACGTTAATGCCAGTAGCTCATAAAGCAGGATTTTTGTTCACAGGACTCCGCAGCTTCGAGGGAGCCTTGCCTTTGTCCTGCCCAGCCGGCATGAGGCAGGATCCCTTGAACCTCCTTGAACTCTGTGAGGGCTTACAAGGCGGCCAGTTTACTCAGGAGAAAGTCCTAAGTATGTTTCTGGAGGTAGCTTAAAAATAGAAAGCGCACTCGTCAATCTTTTAGACAAAGCCAGATCAATGGGGCGGTTTCTTGACTTTCTTTTTTTTGTGCCTCTTGTTTAACAACAACAACAACAAAAATCCAAACCGAGGCATTTAAAATATCTATCTATCTATCTATCTATCTATCTATCTATCTATCTGTCTACGTGTTTCTTCCCAGGCCGCAATTGTTTTCTCCTCACCGCTCTCTCCTTCTCCTTCCCTTCCTCCGTCTTCCTCCTCTTCCTCAGGCGAATGTTCCCCCCTTTCAAAGTGCGCGTGAGCGGCCTGGATAAGAAAGCCAAATACATTTTGCTGATGGACATCGTGGCCGCCGACGACTGTCGCTACAAGTTCCACAACTCGCGCTGGATGGTGGCGGGCAAGGCCGACCCGGAGATGCCCAAGCGGATGTACATCCACCCGGACAGCCCGGCCACCGGCGAGCAGTGGATGGCCAAGCCCGTCGCTTTCCACAAGCTCAAGCTGACCAACAACATCTCGGATAAGCACGGCTTCGTGAGTATCTCCCTCCCTCGGGCTGGGCTTGCACCGGGCAGCGGGGGGGGGGAGAGGCTCGGGCTCCCCACGCCACCCCACCCCCTGAAGCCGGCGGCCTGCGGTCGGCCTCCCTCTGCTTGGCCAGGGGGACCCCGGGTCCTGTGACACGGCTTGACACGCGTCTCTCGCTTCAGAGGAGCTCTCCGCCCGCTGGGGAATTGACGACCGCGGGGCCGCGCGCTTTGCCGGGCGGCCGTCTTGCGCGGAGTTTGGCTAGGAAAGGCCCGGGCAGGGTCGCCCTTGCGTTGCTCTGCGCCACGGTGCCTCGTTCCTTCTTTCTGGGGACCGGGTGGTTTCCGGAGCGCCCTCCCTCCGCGGCCAGCCAGAGGAGCTTCGCATTCGGTCGCTTCCCGTCGAGTCGCCGGGTCTTCTTCGGGCACCTTCCCCCCACCCCACCCCGTCGCTCCGCTCAAACCCTCCGTTAGGCACGTGCAGGCTTGGAAACGCGGGCCGCAGGGACCGGCTGTGGTTGGGATCAGGCGGGAAAGGGCGAACTTGGAACTACTTTTTTTTCTCCCCAAAGCTATACGTCGTCGTCGTCCCCCCCCCCCCCCCCCGCAGCCCCCGAAGGTGATACGTGATCAGTAACCAGCGGGTCAGAACTTCGCCCTTTTTCCTCCTGCCACCCCTTTCACCGGAGGAGTTTAAAATTCAGGGCGGGAGCCGTGTCTTTGCGCGGGCCCGCGGCCTTCGCCTTTGGAGGCGAAAAAGAGGGCGAAAGAACCAGGCGAGAAATCCGTTTGCAAGACCGTATCCTATAGAGGTTGACGCGGTCGGCTTGGCGGGTCGGCTGGCGAGGATTCCGGAGCGACCTGTCCCCCTCCCCCCAATATGTTGAGGATCGGGGTGTGTTCCCGAGGAGCTGATGCCATTTCTTTCCTCTGCCGTTACAAACCAGACCGCGGTTTTTCCATCCCATATTTCTTCGGGAAGTCAATTTAATTGAAATCCAGCGGTCTTAATTCGGAGTAAATAGGCGTGTGGGGGGGAGGTGTCTCTCGCTGGACCCGCCAGCGCTCGGAGTGAGTCCGATCCAGTTCAGGGAGAGGTTGGTGCAGAACACAGAAGCATTTGTGATCCGAATTCTCTTTCTGCGGCCTTCTCTGTTTACACTGGGAGCCCGGGAAGTCATTTTACAATCAAAGCGATTTTTAAAAATGGAATATTTTCTCTTTTAAAAAATGGCTAGAGGGTTCAGGAATTAGCTTGCACTTAAAATCGAATGAGGAAATAAAGGGCAAATGGATTCCAGACGCAGCAGTTCCAAAACTGGAGGTGGAAATGGAATTTTGATCCTTATTTCATAAGGCTTCCACACACACACACACACACACACACACCAGTCTTTTCCCTATCCGATAGAATGGACGGATATATTTTTCGTCCCTTGTCTGTCGCGTCATGAAAGGGTGTAAATGCGGAAAGTAACCATCCAGTGAGCAACTCTTTGCGAAGAGCTATTTGTTGCTTCTAAATTTCCAAGTTATTAGTGAAATGTTATGTGGTGGTGGTGGGGGGACCTGACTCTCTAGATTTTAAATATGTCACTTCTCCTCAGGTTTTTGAGCCGGACGCCCATATCTTTGCATACAAAATGAAACCTGCTTTCATGTAAGGGGAGGCCCCGGCGAGGAAGAGCCGGGCTATTTGTGTTGGCCTTCGTCAATGCCTGGTCGGCCATTTGTATACATGGCATTTCGACCTATTTCCAGCCTCGGGTAAACGTGTCTCTGTGTGTGTGCTGGAAGGGGGGGGGGGAGGCGTTCAAAACTGGAAAAAGAAAACGCCGACTTCACGGGCTTCAATAAATCCGTCCAAAAACAGAGAGTCTGCGATGTCCCATGCACCTGAATTATTCCCCCCCATTTAATAATTTCCCATTTATGTCGCCCCCTTTTTTGGGGTGTGTGTGAAAGGATCAAGAAAAGAGAAGGGGGCGGGGATGGAAGGAAGGGGGTCATTTCAATAAATCTCGAGGTCGTTGGTTCGGCGATGAGTGACCTGCCTTTAAACTCAATTTAAGAGGTTAGGGAAAGTTTGGAAACATGGGGAGGGGTGGAGAAGGGGAGGAAATCTGGGAGAGTCGACTAGACAGGTGCATCTCCAAGCGAGGAGGGGGGCGACTGGCTGAGTCCCATTTCGGGATCCCATTTCGGGATCCAGGAACTTCGGGCACTGAGACCCGGGCGTGGAGACGCAATCTGGGCGGCAGACCACAGGGCGAGTCTGACCACGGGGTAAGGCGGCGCGCACAAAATCCAATCCACATGACGGGAGACTTGCCCCTGACCACAGTGCGCGGGTGCGCGGATGCGCGGGTGCGGGTGCGGGATCGCTGTATCGAAGGTAAGCTCGAAGCATGCAGTCACCCGTCGTGAGTAACCCCACTGGTCTCCAATGGGGTCAGGCAAATAACCCGGTGAAATCAAGTCAGGGTTCAAAAGAATACTTCTGGGCTGGCCTCCTATCATTTTGCCCCATCCCATCCCATGCGAGGAGAGCGGCCCTACAGAACCCGAAAGGGGCGCATTCCGGATCTCCCCCCCCCCAAAAAAAAATCTGTAATGCAGTGAGTGGGTGCCTTGGAAACTCTGCCGAAATCCAAACGGGTTTTCTGCAGGAGAGAAAAGGGACGTGTTTTTTTTTTAAACTTGAAGACGAAACAGATTTCCCCCTCGTCTGCGACCTCCGAGGCAAGAGACGGTGGCCCCCTGCCTCCTACGCCCAGGGCTACGATCCAGCCGCGCGCGGTCCTTGTAAGCGATCCGTCGATCCAGTTCAACCACGAGACAAGGTGTTTTTTAAAAAAAACAAACCAACCCCCTCCCCCCATTTTTAAAGACTGCAATTATTTGTAGACTTAATTAGGAGCCAGGCCCGTGGATCCCGGTTGGACTCCGAGTAAACAGGTCTCTGCCGCCTGTTTCTCTTCCCCCCTCCCCCGTAGCTGTGAGTCAGTCGGATCCTGGGCATCTCTACTCGGAAGTAAGTGCCAACGCGCATTCGGCCAGGACTACTGCCAGGCAAGCGTCTGTCCCTTGCTGTGGGGCCTGGCGACAGAGGGGCCTCGAAAGACCTCCGAGACTCACTCGGGCTCCCCCCAGAAGCTCCAAGGACCGGATTACCTTAAATAACCGAGTGCAGCGCAGGGGGGGTTTGATGGAGGGGAGCGGGCGCCTCCGAAAGGAAGCCATTTCTAAAGAAGTCTAAAAAAGGCAACGGGGTAATCGCCTTGTGAATTCCATCCCGGAACACGCAAACCTCTCCTTTCCTCGGGTGTAAACCTCGTTGCTTTCGGCTGGGCCTTATCTCGTTTCCTGGGAAATAAAACCTCACTAAATTAAAGGGCGTTTACACCCAAGGTCGAGTTTGTGGGTTTACCGTGTTAGAAGTCGTTTCTGGAGAGGGTACAGAGTTACACCGGAGTAAGTCCCCTTAGCCGCAGAGGGAAAAGATCTCTGAGAGCAGGGGCCTGGAATCTGGACCTCTCTCTCCCTTTTAAAATGAGGTTTATACTTCGCTTTGCGACCCCAAAGTTCCTAATCGCTTTCAAGGGGGACGAAATCCGAAGGCCCCCCCTCCCCCCAGCACTCACGCCCAAGGATGTTTGTGGTCTGAAGTCTATTTGGGAGAAAATCCCTTTAACATCAGAGGTATTTCTGAGCGAATGTTGGGGGGGGGGGCTGTGCCGGTTTCTTTCGGTCCCCATCAAACAGGGGAGCTTGGATAGAAGAGACTTGGCCAGGTTGACTCAGAAGTAAGTCTGGCGGACTGAGGTCAAGCTTGCTTCCTAGAAATCAGGTATACTTTTTTGTATCCTAAATTTACCTAGATGATTCCTCCCCCCCCCCTTCATGGAGCTTACTTCTGAGTAGACACAGGTACCCGCAGTCGTTATCTAAGGAGGCGGATTTGCCCCCTAACACTGTTTAGAAAGCAGGGATTTATCCCACCCCCCGCACTGAATTTGCTCTAGAAATGCCACGGATTCTGGCATTTGCAATTAGAACCGCCAATCCTGCTCTTATGCAGAAGAGAAGCGAACTGAAATCAACGTGTTTTAGGCGCATCCAAGTGGGCATGGTTTTGCGCATCCACTCGGTGGCAACGCCTGTTTACCGGGCTGGATCGGGCTCCAGTGGAGGGCGAAACGGGGGTGTGTGTGTGCTGAACGTGCGGCCCCGATCCTCATCACGTTTACGCGGAAGTAAGTCCCAACGGGGCTTGCTGACAAGTAGATAGTTTCTCTAGGAATACAGCTGGCGGAACCTTTGGAAACTATTTCCAGGTAGGCAGCTGGATTCCACATTGTTAGTCTCCCGGCTGGCGAGTTCCTCTAAAGGAAGCCACTTGAAAGAGGGGCCCCCTTGGCGCTGTTCTCCAAGTCCAGAGAGGCCTGAGCACCTCTGCGGCGTAACGTTTGCCTTCCTCGAAGGACTAGCGGAGGTCTGGGAGGGCCGGTTTCCGGAAGAGGCTTTTAAAAACTGGGTCCAATTGGCCCCCAAACCTAAAACTTTGCTCGCTGGTTGGTTTAGAAGGAAGCGACGCTGGCTTCGGTGAGCCTTACTTCCGAGTAAACATGCACACGGAGCTTTTATACACACACCCCTTTCAGATCTGGGATTTGTTGTCTGGAAAGTGTTGAAATTCCCTTTTTGATATTCTGGGCTGCCAATTAGTTTAAATCCAATCTTCGGCTGAGCTGCTTCAGGGCTCTGCAAAGGGGAGGGCTTTTCCAAAGAGGAGGCAGCTATGGGGGGGTGGGAGGCTCCTTCGTTTTAAGAAGGGGGGGGAATGGGGGCACGATCCATCCAAAACGAAGCACTTCAGAAGTCCCCTTCAGTTCAGTGGAGGAACGAAGCACCTGCTTCTCCCAAATCCCTCCCTGTTCCGGGCACCGAGGGGCCTTCCCTCCGGGGAAGCATGCAGCGGCTTGGGCTGCATGTTTGGATCGTGGCCCAGGTTTTAGGGCGGAATGCTGAGTTTCTAGCAACGCCGTCTGGAGGACCCTTTCCCGGAAGGAAGCCCCACCCCGCAGACTCGTGCAGGATCCGGAGGAGGCCCGCAGAGCAGCCGGCGCTCTTCAGGGCTCCTGACCTCGGAAAGGGCGGCGGGCGACCCTCTTCGGGGTGCTGACCAGGGTTCCCAGCACTGCAAAGAATGCAGCCCCCTGCACGTTTCCTCGGAAGTAAGTCCCTCTGAGATCCATGGGCCTCGCTCCTTCTTCGTCCGCTGGTTAGGATCCTGAGGGGATCTCCGCAGGGTTTACTCGCGAGTAACAGCCCAGGCGGCCTCTGGGGAAGTTTTGCTTGGGGAACAGACAGCGCGCCGCCTTCAAGGCCTCCCGGATTTCCAAAAGGGAAGAGTTTCCAGAATATTGGTCAACGAAGGTTTGGGACACGGATGCAGGAATTAGGGGGTGGGTGGGGCTTTTCTAGTGTCCCCCGAAGCTATTGAGCAGCTGACCTTCCCCCAGGCTAAAAAATTGCGCGCACCCCCCCCCACGTCCCAGTTAGATCTCAGCGAAATGGCAATGAGGCGTGTGTGCGGAAGGGCGTCATTGACAATAACCAGCGAAGACTGACTTTATTTCCTTTAAGGAGTTTTGCTTCTGTAGAAGGGGTTGGGGGGGGGGGTTCCACACCGCCCCCACCCCTTTCCCTGTGCGAATCAATTAACTGGCCGGATGTTCACAGCCCCATTCCACCCATCTGTCTACTCGGAACTAAATCCCACGGAATGCAATGGCGCCGACGCCCAACGTCTATGGATTGCCATTATGAAGAGAGTCCTTTGAATCCGTCGGGGCGCTCAGGGGTTGCGAATGTCCACCTCCCTCTTCGGGAGTGAGGCAGCAGTCCTAAAGCGCTCTACTCGAGGGCAAGCCTCATTCTTTATTCAGTGGGACTTCTCCCCGGGAAGGGCCTTTAGGGCTGCAGCCTGAGCCGGAGAGATCTGTGGGGGGGGCGGTGGAGGCTGGATCCTTCCGAAATCCCGCCCAGGGAGTCCTTCCCCACGGACTGCAGCTCGAGCGCGCTTTCCGGAGCCTGCCGGGCTCGGCGTGGAACGTTGGCAGGGCTGTTTCTGACCCCGAGGAAAGTTGCGCCGAAACCGACCGACTGTGTCGTCCAGGGATCTATAGGACCCCATGGCCACAGGACAGCAGAGCTCGCCGAGTTAGCGAGAGGCTAGACGTCCAGCCTCCCCGCGCCTTTCCCGGCTCCGTTTATGGCCCAGAAAGTCCCCCCCCCCATCTATTTATTGTTTGTTTGTTTTTATTATCCCCCCCCCCGCAAGCGGGCTCAGGGCGGGTCGCGGCCAGTCGTCTCCAAATGCGCGGAAGAAGGGAAACATCCAGACCGCGACCATTCCGAAGGCGCTCCTCTTGATGGTTGCCGCGGAGGGGGGCCCCAAGTCAGTGTTCCCTCTAGGCTGAGTCGGTGTGGGGCTAGCTCATCGTTTTTAAGCCTCTGGCTCAGGAAGGAGAGCTCCAGAGCAGTGTTCCCTCTAAGCTGAGTTCATGTGAGCTAGCTCACAATTTTTTAGCCTCCGGCTCACACATTTTTTGTCTCCGCTCGGGAAGGAGGGCTCCAGAGCAAACTGATTTATGCAGCAGCCCAATCGCTGGCTCACAACTTTAATGCTAGGAGCTCACATAGTAGAATATTTGCTCACAAGACTCCACAGCTTAGAGGGAACACTGCCCCGGAGCCAACTCGTTGATGCAGGAGCCAAATCGCTCGCTCGCAACTTTAATGCCGGGAGCTCACGAAGCAGAATTTTTGCTCACCGGACTCCGCAGCTTCGAGGGAACGTTGTGACCCTTGCCCCGCGATCTAAGTAGGTTTACTCAGAAGCAAGCGCCGCGGACTTCGGGAGGATCGCCTCCTTCCCGCGTAGCGTCGCGGCACCGTCGCGGTCTCCTGTCGCTAGAAACGGTCCGTTTGAGGCGTGGCGAGGGGAGAGGCCCAGACCGCGCCGGCCTGCGAGGAAACGGAATCTCCGAACGAGCCTGTCGAAGGCCGGGGGCTCCATCTAGTGGGGGGGGGAGGGAGGGAGGGGGTCGGCGGTGTGGGCCGAAAACCCTGGCCTGCTGTGGAAGAAATCGCTGGACTGGGGCGCGACCCTGCCACGGCGAAGCCCCTGGAAGTCTGTTCAGCCCTTACCAAGCCTCGTGCTTTAAAGGCAAGACTTCCCAAGGCTTCTGCGGGGCTAGATCCTATCCGGTATTAATCGCGCGCGCCCAGAGAAAAGAATCCAGGGTCCTCCTCAGTGACAGCCTGCAGGGACGGCTAGAACGCCGCATTCCCTTCTGCTCTTCGTAGGTCTCAGTTCAAAATTTGCCTTGTAAGTGGGAAGAAAGGGGTTGACTCCCGTCTGGTACCCAAATCTATGGGGGCGGGCGGAGGTCATGGTGGAATAGTTCCTTGTGGCTGGATTGTCACACCCGTTCTTCCCTGCCGAGGTGTACAAAGCTATGCAGGTTTGCTCGGACGCAGGTCTCATAAGAGCCGTGGAAGGAGCAGCTGACAGTAGAACGCAAGCAGGAAAACAAGGAAATCTATCAGAGTGACTCTTGTGATACATCTCCAGAGGTCTTCTCTTTAATCCTCGGGGGCTTCACCTGAATCCCAGCAAGTGCCCCTTCTCCCCCTCCCCGCCGCCACGAGACAACCCCTCGAAAAATAGTTGTGTGTAAAATAGCCCAGTCAACGTTCCCTCTGAGCTGTGGAGTCTTGTGAGCCAAAATTCTCCTTTGTGAGCCACTTGCATTAAAGTTGTGAGCCAGCGATTGGGCTGCTGCATAAATGTGTTTGCTCTGGAGCCCTCCTTCCTGAGCGAAAACAAAAATCTGTGAGCCGGAGGCTAAAAAACTGCGAGATAGCTCACACTCACTCAGCCTAGAGGGAACACTGCCCAGGATACAATTTCGAGAAAATCCGGATTCCCAGTTCCATCGCATTGAGTTCAGTGGAGCTTGCAGGACGGACCTAGGCATGTTTACTTGGAAGTAAGCAATGCTCCCTCGAAGCTGTGGAGTCTTGTGGGCAAAAATTCTACTTTGTGAGCTCTTGGCATTAAAGTTGTGAGCGAGCAATTTGGCTACTGCATACGTTAGTTTGCTCTGGAGCCCTCCTTCCTGTGCGAAGGCAAAAATGTGTGAGCCGGAGGCTAAAGAACTGTGACCTAACTCACACTAACTCAGAGGGAACACTGGAAGTAAGCCTCCCTTCCAAACCGATGCATGTAGGTGCTCCCAAAAGGGCCGGATTCTAGAGGGCCGCCACGTGTCTCTTTCGCCAGCCTCTGAACTTGCCGGTCTCTCTCTCTTTCTCTCCTTCCCAACAGACAATCCTGAATTCGATGCACAAATACCAGCCTCGATTCCACATAGTCCGGGCCAATGACATTCTCAAGTTACCCTACAGCACCTTTCGGACGTACGTGTTTCCTGAAACCGATTTCATCGCCGTGACTGCCTACCAAAACGACAAGGTAAGCCTGGAGCCTCCCCCTCTGCAGCCCAATTTATAACCAACGAGATCCGACGCAGAGCCCACCGGGTCTAGCTCGCACCGGGCAGCCCACCAGCGGCAGGGCTCTGTTGTCGTTGGCCCCAAGGACCTGGCCTTCGGAGACAGACTGCCCTTGTTGTCCATGAAAGTTCCACTTTGCTACCGATAACCACCATTGATAAAATATTCAGCCACGGCCTGGTTTTGCTTTCTTTGACAAGCCAAATAAACCAAGTAGATTGTGGTGAACTAATATCCCCCGACGCGCATTTTTTAAACTCAATTTGGGGATTATTCATTTTAAACTGCCCCCCAACCCCCCTGAGCAGCTCCTAGTTCAAATTCCTACAAATCCGAAGGAGGATTGAACGTCTTTCGATGTCTTCTCTTTTCCGCAGCCCAGGTGACTGTGGCAACCACTAGACCAGAGAATCTCGCGGTGCCCGACAGACTAAAGAATCTCCCCCTTTAAGGCCACAAGAGATTCTTCATTTCACACTTTGTGCTTTCCTGAGTTTGAGATGCGGAATTCTGTTTTTTTTTTTGGGGGGGGGGTCTTTTGCCAAAGGGTTCGCTTGGTTGGGTGGGAGATAAAAACTGAAGTAAAATGGACCCCAGGTTTGACCCAAAATTTGGAAGGACCCGAGCCAAGAGCAGCAGTGAAGGATGTAGCTGTCGTTCGCCAGGGAGGCGATCCGCTCTCTCGCCCCCGCCAGATAATTTATTCCCCCTCCTTGAGAAGAATCCCCCCCCCCACGACGGCGACGCTCTCAGGCCCAACACGGTTGACGTGCGGCTTCCTTGTGTGTAAACCAACGGGCAAAAGCTGGAGTCACTGGCACGTTTACTCGGAAGTAAGTCCCCGCGTGGCTTGGTCCCGAAAGAGAAGGCACCCAAAGCGTCGCAGCTTAACTGACTTGCGGACAGCGCTCTTCTTTGAACGGGGCTGGAAATCGGATTGGAGAGTGGATCTGAGGGGAGAGGGGCCCTCGGATTTCTGCTTAACTGGTTTCTGTGGGGTGGGGTTTTTTGCGGGGGGCGGCGGCAGTTCGCCTGTCCCTGGCAGAGCGAGCTCCCCCCCGCCCCGGAGGTCTCCTCGCTGCGCAGCGTCGGACAGGCCGGCCTGGACTTCTGCGGTGTGTGGGTGGGGGGCTCCGGCCTGTGGGGCCCGCCTTTGAGTAATCTTTAATCGCTTATGAACTCTGCCATAAAGTTTACGAGGCAAACAGGCCCGCCGAGCTGTCAATTAGAGAGGGAGGCCGGTGCTGCTGCTGCTGCTGCTGGTGGTGGTGGTGAGAGATCGCCTCTGCCGGTCTCCAACAGCGCCCAGCCCAGCCGCAGGCATGGCGGGGTAGGGTAGACTGCGCCTGCGCCTGGCAGTTCTCTTGCGTTGTCACCGCTGGGGGATCGACCTCTCCTCTCCCAGAAGTGCCCCTGAACGGACGGCACGGGCCGCTTCCCTCCCCGAGTCGCCACTGAGGTGGCCGCGCAGATGCGAGTTCAGGCTTCACGCGTGACCCCTTCCCCCGGTTGGTCAAACCGACACGGGGACTCAGTTTCCCTTCGGTCTGCTTAAGGTCGTGGAGAGTGCTGCGCAAAGGGGCTTCGGCGGCCCCGATTTCATGGGCAGAGCAGCTCCTTGACTCGCAGGAGGGCCCCGCCTCCATCCCCGGGGTCTCCAGTTAAGAGGACCGGGCAGTGGGGGAGGCCAAGGGAAGATCTCTGCCTTCAAGTGCCTTGAGAGAGCCCCCCCCCCCCCGTCTGAGCCGGTCTGAGCAGACGATACCGTTCTGGAGGGACCGAGGGTCGGAGACGGTCACTTGTTGTTGAACCTTCCCAGTTCAATTGCAGCAGGCAGGCCTGCCTAGAATTACAGCTCTCCACTCGCTGGCTCTGTGCTCGTGTGAATGTGGTTGTCGGGAAATGCATCTATCTATCTATCTATCTATCTATCTATCTATCTATCTATCTATCTATCTATCTATCTATCTATCTATCTTCACATTATATATATCTCGGCCAGTGGCTGGAAGAGAGGCTGGCTCAATAGAGCCTCCATGTTCAGTGGCAGCCTACCTTTGGACCCCCGGTGGTGGTGGGAATAAATAGCAGCGCTTCGGCTGACAAGATTCTAGAGGGATCCGGCAGGATTAGGTTCTTCTCCCATTCAACAATTATTTCGCGACTTTTTCTCCTTCCTCTTCTTCTTCCTTTATACAAGAAGTGGAAGAAGTGTGCGTGTGTGTGTGGGGGGGGAGACAGAACCCGGAGGGTCGGTTCGTTTCCGCGGCGGAATCCCGAGGCCCCCTTACAGACGGATAGATGCGGGAGAGCTCTCCCGTCGCCGAAGCCATACAAGTCGGTTTCGGCGCAAGGAGAAAGCCCCGTTCAGACTCCGGCGTGTAAACCGCCCCCCGCCCCCTTTTGCTCCTGGGGGCCGTGGGAATAGCGCCGGGGGAGGGGGGCCTGGGGGGCCGGGACTTCCGATCGTTCACCCCCCATGAATAATTCAAGCCAAACCTCCACATCCTTCTTTCACAGAGCCTGCGGCGTGTTAAACCTGAGGGGATCCGGTGTGTTTTCGGGAGCCGGTTTAAGCCAGGCTTCGCGCCGCTTTCGGCTCTGCGGCGGGGGAGGGGGGCGGACTGGCTTTGCGGAGGGCCCCCAAAGACGGACTGGAAGGCAGACACGCCCCCCACCTCCCCCCCCACCTCAGGTTGTTAGAAGTGGAGGGCTTGGCGCTGTCTCCTGTCTCAGACTTGAGAAGATGGCACCAAAGAGTTCAGACACACAGAGAGAGAGGTCACGACACACAGGGCAGCCCTTCCTTCCTGCTCTCTGGTCTCTCTCCCACTCTCTCTTCGCTCCTCCGTGCAGGAAGAAGGTGCTTGATCTCCATCTTGCACCACGGAGGCTGGACGAGCGCCCAGCATCCAACACCATCTAGCTAGTTGGAAGAGGTCATCTATCTCTACCTCTTACCTGCACTCTCAACCGCGTATTTCCTTTAATAAATGTTACTTCGTTTTTAGAGCTGACTGTTGACTCCGTGTGACTTTTTAGTAAGTCTGCCACACCCAGCCCCGAGCTCTGCTGCCTTGAAGCCTTTGTGCACTCTGCTATTTTCCCCTGGTTCCCTGGCAGTACCTAGTCCAGAGAATCCAACACAGGTTTGGGGGGGGGGAGTTGGAGCCGGGGGGGGCACCCTGAAGACCAAGGACGTTTAATTCTGGGCATGAGCTTCCGTTGAAGCTTCCTTCGAAGTGTGCCTCCGCCCACGGAGAATTTATGACCAGAACTAAACTTGGTGGGTCTTCAGGGTGCCCCCCCCTCCAGGTTTGCTCTGCTGCTTCAGACCAGCAGGGCGACCCACCTGGGTCTGTCCTCCGGTTTGGGGGCGGACGGCACTTTGCCTGTCCCCGACCCCCCCCCCATCAGGCCTCGGGGGCTTTTGGAGACAGAGGTTCCGGGGCTTAAACTTGTCGGGAAGACACCCCACCCCGGAAATCTGTCTACTCCCTCCCCGGTGAACTCCCTGGCCGGGGAAGGCGATTCTCTCTTCAGAAGCGGTTGTCGGGCCCTCGGTTGTCCAACTGGGGAGGGAGCCCCATTCCTTTCAGTCGGATCTACTCTCGCGTAAACACGCACGGGAGCCGCCCTGCTCGGGCACAGACCAAGTCCTCCCGGGGGAGATCTCAGTCGAGGCTCCGGTTTTACTCCCAAACTATCGCTCAATCCGGATTACCCAGGAAGAGGGCCCCGTTCCTATAAGGTCCCGGTTCAGTCTGCCCCTAAAACAACCCGGGAAATTCAAGAGCGGGGAGGGGGACGGGGAGGAGGGTGCCTCGCAGGATCCCTTTCACAGGAACCCGCCCCCTGTTTTGTTCCCCCTTCGCAGATCACCCAGCTGAAGATCGACAACAACCCCTTCGCGAAAGGATTCCGAGACACCGGGAATGGCAGGCGAGAAAAAAGGTACTTCGCAGCCCGGGTCTCTTTCCCCTCCCCCGCCCTGCCTTAAAAGGCGTGCCCTCCCCTCGGAGCAAATCCCCTCACCTTCAGTGGGGCTGGATCTCGGGTCCGGGGGGCGCAGAACGGCAGCCTTCCAGTCCAAGTCCCGTTTTCAGCTCCCTTCTCCCGGAGGGGGGGGGGCGTGTGTCACCTTCCGTCCGCACTGGACCTGTTGGGGGGGGGCCGCCCACAGGACAGAACCCCCCCTTTCCCAGGAAGCCAACTGACCGGGGGAACCTGGGTCGAGCCTAAGATTTCCCCCCTGAACTCCTTGTTTTCTACCTGCAAGGAAGTTTTTAATATGAGGGTGTGTGTGAATCTCTATCTTCACCTCGGCCAAAAGGGCCCCTGCAGAACAGCACTGCTGTTGGGGGTTTTTTGTAGCGTCCCCCCCCCTTAACCTCCATGCCCCTAGAAAACTAGCCGAGCAGGGAGAGGTATAATTTTTCCCCCTCCTAGTGCAACATATTTCAACTTGCAGGTATCACAAATACCTTTCGCAGCCCCACAACAGTTTCTGCTGCCTCGTTCCTCTTGCACAGACGGGCCAAAAGCTTCCGGCAATTTCCCCCAGGGGAATTCGGATCGCTTCAAATTGCTCTTTTATTTGTTCCCGTTTTATAGATTTAATTTAAAAGTTCGGTGTCTTTTAAGGCTGTAAATCCAGCCCGTTGGTGTCTCTTCCTCGGGGTCTCCCTCACCCACCTCCATACATGCAAAGTCTCCTTTTCACAAAAGAGGGGAGCCATACTGGGATTCTAAGTCCGGTTGCCAATCGCCGGGAGATTTAGCAGAGGCTAAAGGGGCTTCCGCTATTTCCACACCCTTCAGGGAAAGGGCATGTTTCTCCAGGCCTGTTGGCAGCCCTGAAACTCGATCCCTAGACTGAAAGATAGGTAGATCCCGATCAATGCTCCCTCTAAGCTGTGGAATTCTGTGAGGGAAAATTCTGCTTCTTCAGCGACTGGCATTAAACAAACCACTCCTGTATATACACGCAGCTATGAGATGTGACTCCCATTTCACCGTCTGACGAAGTGGGCCTCGCACACGAAAGCTCACACCCTGAATAAAACGTTGTCGGTCTTAAAGGTGCCCCCACTGGACCCGAACTCTGTTCTATAGCATTAAAGTTGTGAGCGAGCCATTTGGCGCCTGCAGAAATCAGTTTGCTCCGGAGCCCTCCTCTCCTCCCTGAGTTGAGACAAAAATGCGAGAGCCGGAGGCTAAAAAACTGCGAGCTAGCTCACACTCACTCAGCTTAGAGGGAACACTGATCCCGATCCTCGGCGTTTCGACTCGGAGGGAAGCCCCCACAGTATCGGATATGGGTTCCCCCCCCCTCCAAGGAGCTGAGATCTGTTGGGTCAGGCAGGGAGGGAGGGAGGGAGCCCGGGGGAACCGACCCGGCCGCGCAACTTGCGCCTGTCGCTGACCCCCCCCCCCGCCCTGCCTTCTGTCTCCTTTCC